GGAAGGAAGGAAGGAAGGAAGGAAGGAAGGAAGGAAGGAAGGAAGGAAGGAAGGAAGGAAGGAAGGAAGGAAGGAAGGAAGGAAGGAAGGAAGGATCCCATAAAATGAAAAAACTTTAGGACCCAAATCTCAGTTGTTACAATAGCAGTACAAAAACAAAACAAGCAAACTAGCAATTAGAAATGAATGAAAATTCTAGCAACGAAAAGACATTCATCCTTCAAGACACATTTTATTATACTTTCATGTATTAAACATTGGAATCAGTCTGGCAATTAAACAAAACCTCTTAAGAATATTAAAAATGCTCACATTGTTCACATTGACTCCAAGGAATGAAAAGGAAGAAAAGAGAGTAAAACAATAACACTTTAAAATTAAGAACATTCTTTACATGTGTTCTCTTTCTTTTCAAAGAATAAAAAAGTCAGCATTCATTTCATCAAAGTGGGGGGGTTTTCTCACATAATTTGAGATTTTACTATTTCAATTAGCTACCATAACAGACACTGAACATGYAGATGCAAGTATACAATCTGTAAGACATTATTTGATCAGAATGAAAGCATTAAAATACTTTTCAGTTTTAAACTTGTGCACTGCTGATATACCTAATTTAAGGCCCATCAGACATAAAAGTGCTAAAAAAAATGTTGCAGTTAAATTAACTGACAATACAGCAGTATTGAAATAATCTTCAGGGCACCTTCAGCATGTGCAGGTCTCATAGCATTAAAAAAAAAAAAACCCTAAATAAAAATTGTAGCATTCTCAAGACACCGGCAAACTTAGGCTTCATTTTCCTTATAGGAAGCCATTATTACACATTATCCATACACTTGCATTTGAACTACAAATCTATTCAGCTTTGATATCTTCTATTGTGGTTGATCACCTGCTAAACTCAGTRATTGCACTAAAAAAGGGCACTATATCACCAGGATACCCAAGATGAAAAGAGCTGGTTTTAGAACTGCATGATAGCTTGCTGAAAACTGCATATTCCTTCCTTCGAAAATCCTGGAACTAGATCCTGCTARAGATGGAACAATTTATAGCAAAGATCATTGACCAGTCTCCATCAGTCCTTTTAATATGCAAGAAATTGCTGACTAGAACCACAGCTATATTGTAGATACATTAAAAGTCTGAGCACCCTTATGGCACTAAGGCATGGAACAACCTTTGCAACATTTCTGCCTTCTAGATTCCTGGTTTTATATCACAGATGCACTTACCACTTATCTTGTGGCAGGTTTAGAGTTATGCTGCCTTTGACTTCRTCCCCAAAGCGCAGATACCCTAGGGTGGCCAATGAGATGTACAACGTCATAACTATTCCCATCCCAATGTTCAACGCCAGTGGGAAACGTGCAGAGTCCTTCATTCTGTTTTCCAATGGCAGCACCTGGAAACAGAAGGAGAATCAATCATATTTTATGTCCTCAGAATAAAASTACTTATCTCCCCTCTTTCAATGCCAACTTCCAAAATTTAGGTGATTGTATAATAAATAAGATTAGTCTACAATAATGTTTTACCACTTGGATGGTCACAATGCTTTAGATACCCWATGGAAATGACCAATTATAGCACCTATCTTGGTTGGAAAAGAACATCTGTGTGGAAATATAAAGCAATATTTATAGGTTAGAGAAACTGTTAAGAGAAACTTATGGTGTCCAGATGAAAATATAATATGAATAATGTGATTTTTTTTTTTGGTAACAACATTTTTCAGAATCCATGGATATTTCTCCTGTCAGGTATGACTGTACTGTCAGTCTCCATCACAGACACTTACTGACACTCAAGCTCAGCCTCAGCACTCAACCTCAGCTCTCCCAGAATGGAATCTGGAATCCATGACTCCCAGAACACAGTCCCATGCTCTCTTTCATCTCTCTGACAGAAACAGGTCCAGGTGCACTAAGCACTGCTTTTCCTAAACAGTGGTTTGAGCCTCAAGTATAGTCAAGCCACCTCACTGGGCTTGCATCACTTGAAAGTGAAGACACAGGCATTGCAAAACGTTACTGGAGATTGCCTTTTACCTGTAATCTACAGCATTCAGAAAAATACACTCGGTAAGTTCCAACTTAAGTTTTTGGACACTAAGATAAAAATTCCAGGCAAGGCARTAAAACCAAGTGACAAGCTCACACATTACCCTTCCCACTTTCAATTTCACCAGCAAAACAGATCCTTTCAAATCATTAACACACCAGCTGAAGGTACATGCATACTCCTAGACCAGCAAATTTCCCCCACCTCTTTCAGGAGAACTGTACAGTCATCTCAGATACTCAATATGGAATATAGTCCAAGATTAAGATACCTAACACTGTATGCCTACATCAAAGTGAAACATTAAAGTGAAATATCCAAACTTCTATAACCAAGTTAGGTAATGAAGATCTAGACAATACTGACAGTGGAATAAAGTTCACAGTTCACCTTATCTTTCAGCAGACATGCAGGTTRTATTTGATGAACAGTATGGTACTGTTAATTAAAGAAGCTTGTCATCCCTGGTTAGCACTTACATCATATCTAACACAGTCTTAGTGCAACAAGGTTGCCCTGTAAAAGCTATTGTTCATCATACAAAATTGCTCTTTAATTGACTGAATATTTACTATTTCAATTTAAGCAATGTGAGTTATGAAAAAGAGCAGATTTCATCCACTAATTAACTAACTTWTTGATATATCTGAATTGATGGCACATTATTTTCTATAGGGTAATTACTCCTTTCCTCCTAGCCACCCACTGACATGTACTTTCTGACTTATAGTTACACGTCAACACTGCCCATCCATCCACATGGCTCTATTTCTCCTATATTTGAAAGCCCAAAGAAGTAAYTGTACACTTGGGAACCAAGAGGTCCCTAAAAAGGTGCACATTTAGAGGCAATTTTCATTCATATTCAATTAAAATACAGTATACATCTTAACTTTTTATATATATTTCAGAGCCTCCACTGCTGATGTTTTTCTGTCAGAAAAGAAGCTGAGCTGGGACTCGAACTTGATCTTGTGGGGGAAGCAAAATTTAAACATAGAAGAGTTTCAAAAATTAAACCAATTTTTAAATGARTGTTGAGCAGCAGGAAAAACAGAAAAGGAGACGTGGTCTACAACAGACTCTGGCCAGGATATCTGCCTTTTTAATCTTTTTTCATTTTAACGAAGTTATTTTCACAGGCAAACAAGACTGACATAGAATTGTCTATCTGAAACKTAGTTCATAAATGAAATTAAAGAACTAGTGGCACATACTATGTTCAATGTGCTTGTGTCCAAAAGAAGCATTGAAATTTTCTTTTTACATTTCTAACTATACTGAAATCTTTTATCTTTAGCAATTAAACCAAATCAGTTTTGCACTCAAACCCAAGGACATGCGTTTCTCCAAGAAAACAAAAACTTTAAAAAATAATTTAAAAGCAATTTAAAACCATTATAGGACAATTCTCTTAAGCACATACACTCTAACTATCCACTAAACCAAATTTACTCATTAACTGCAATTATATCATTTCCTGTACACTTATAAGTAGATCAGAATRAAACATACCCATTTAAACTCATGTTCTCACATCATCAGCCTCTCTTTAACATTACAACTTTCATTTATGCTGAGTTTAAGGAAAYGATACATTAAAAGAAATACAGGATAATAATACTGTAAGTGAGAGACACATTAACAGATGTAGAKCTTTAAATTATATTTAAAAATGCTAATTCCTCCCTGCTTATCCTTGAGTTAGTATCAGGATTACATGTGCCTCCAGACTGAACAGATGAGAATGMTAATTCAGCCTTTCCTACATCACTCAGTCCAGGTGAGAGCGTCCCTTCCCAGCTCAGCATGAGCCTTCCCAGGTTCAGGTACCTGCCCTGAGCAGCAGCAATCATCACTGCAGGAGATGCTTCCCTTGGCAAAACTGATCCCCAAAGAATTAACATGAAGAACTTGAGCCAGGTTTTATCAAGTATCCAATATCAGCTACTCCAGACAAGCTGAAAAGTTGTGTAACACACGGGATTAACATGAAGCCAAGCAACAACCAATTACATGTATTTTACACAAAGCAGCTACTGCACAGAACTTCGCTGTAAAATTTCTTTCCAGTCCCTGCATAGTCCCTTTTGTGATGACTTCAGAAAACCTAACATTTCAGCTGAATGCAAGAGACAAGGCTCTTTTCATAATTCACTTTTAGTTTTGGTTTTATTGCTTCCTTTCTGGAACCAAGGCAAGATGAGCTAAGAGTTTCAAACATGTATTTTTTAAACTTTTTTTTAAATGGGTCTCTTCCATGSTTCTGACTTCCATGCTGTGCTTCCTTCAAGCTCTTTCTCCCTCATTTCATATTAGTCCCTGACACAGCCCTGAACACCTATGACATCAGGTATTTTAGACTAAACTTACTCTTCTCATAATTTCTCAATTTCCATAATTTTTATCCTATTCATWGAATAACTTCTGTCATTTTTATCTGTCATCTGCTTCACAGAGCTTTTCCTATTATTTTTGAGACATTTGCACACRTCACTACTACTATCTTCCCTGAAAWGTAATACTGGATTCTTTCAGTTACAATCAACCTTTGGTTTCTTAAAATTGCAAAACAAGCATAATGCATCTTGCTTTCATCCAGCAAATAAAAGCAAAAGTACCCATAATTTACTGGCAAAGAATCATAACTGAATGTTTTAAATAACCTGGCTAACCTGATATCATCCACTATGCAAAACGTTTTCCCCTTCATTTCAAGCTGCTTGAAAAGGTATAAACATCCTCAATAACACTGCCTCCTCATCCCTTGCCTTGAATATCCTGCTACATTCACAGCCTTTCTGCAACTAAGCTGCAGGAGACTCTCTAATTTTAATCAGAAACCTCTACTGTATTTTTCATATAACTGCACCAAAAAAAAACTACAAGAGAATTCAGCCTGCAGGCAATCAGATAAACTATCATTTAATTCTCATAKCCACTGAAAGCGAATCTTGTAATGGACAGCTTAAGAACAGACATGCTTAATGTTGAAATACACAAAGTCATCTTTCCCTTTCTCAGAAAATACCTCTAAAAATGCAAGAATGAAGCCATCCTTTATCCCCTGCACTTTTAAAATAAGATAGACAGCTATATAGACATTTTGACTGGCCTAAGCTAGAGACAACTCAAAAATTCTGGAAAATGAAAACCAATATATTTATCAACTTACTCAGGGAAAAAAAAATCTATAATCATGCCCTACAGCAGCAAAATAAAGCTCTGTTCAGTCAAAGCAAAAAACCAGAAGAAGCTGGTATTCAAGGTATTCAAGGTATGTAAACCTAAATTCTACTGCCTAACTTCCAAMGACAAAATATCAAATCCTCAGCAAACCAATGCAGCCCAGGCCTGGCCCATTCCTTCTTCTCTGCAGAAAGTGCCAATGAATTATCTGCTCACTGAAAGGTGGATTTGCAACCACACAGCCTGTGGAGGAACTGTCTGCAGAAAAAGTATAGTTATATCAAGTAAAATAATAATAACAGCATTATTACATTCTTATGTTTTCTTGCCTGTCCTAGTCCATCTCCTCTCGCACTGCACAGAAAAAGTCTCATGTAATATTTTGAGCAACAAGCTCCTTTTCCATCACTTTAGGATACATTTTTAAAGCTCACTCTCTTTAGTAAGCTACAGAACATTACTATTTGGAACACGTACAATAAACAATCCAATTTTCCTTAACAGGTCCCTCATGACTGCAAACAAAAGGGCAGCTCCTATTACCCAAGGAAAAATTCAAACCAAATGGTGACCGTACATCAAATTTTATAGTAAAAATTTTATATCAAATAAATAAATCCAGAAGTTCTCACTACAGAACACCCTACCCTTCTGAAATCTGCTGAGCAATTCCAATCACTCCTAAACCAATCTACTCAGATTCCAGCAAAGCACCTTTCCACTTGTTTTACCAGGAAAAAGAATTACTCACATATACAAAAAACCCAAACCCAATCTACGGCCCTATTCTGACAGCCTTGATTTAACAGTGCTTGAAGGAAATGTGCAAATCTTACTTAGCTTGCCATCCAAACCTTGCATTTTCTCCAGAGGTTCCTTTTTAATTTTTTTTTTTCTTACATTCAAGAGTTTATTTATCACTTTATTATTACATTTATTTAATCTTTAGCTTGCTCTGCAATTTAACAGAAACTCTGCAAATTTGTGTAGTATCATGTCCTACCTGACTTCATTTGTGAACAAAAGCAAAAAAATTTCTCTCCAATTCAAACTGAAAATGATAAAGCAGCATTTTTGTTCAGTCAATAATATCCTTAAATATTTATCCTGTCAAAAACACTAAAGTATTATATGCTTTGATGGCCTTTACAA